GTAAATAAAATAAGATCGTAGACATTTTACACTGAAACGAAAATTAAACAGGTATAAATTATAAGAAGAATCATAATATTACATAAAAGGTATACAATTATCGACTCAATTTTGAAAATTTTAACTGTAAAATTATTATCCACTACACGTATCGGATCCCTGTGGCGCAGTGGAAAGCGTACTGGACTTCGGATCCAGGGGTCGTGGGTTCGACCCCCACCAGGGATGTGGCCAAAATATATTTTTTTTTCTATAATCGAATTTATCATCACAATCATCTTCACAATAGATGTATCGCAACCAGACGCCAACCCCCCTTGCAGCTGCACGACCTTCGAGCACTAGACCTACGGTGTACTGCGCGACGGCAACATACCGCCGACGAGACCACACCTGTCACCCATAATAAACCGGTTTATTACATTTTATTTTGATGTAAGCCAGTCATAATTCCATTATTTGTCGCATTTTCAAGACAGTTGTAATAATTTGTAACAACTGCCTACATACTTTTTTTTTATATTTATCGTATTACTAATTATATTACCATTTTTTTTTTCAATGTATTTTCCGATATTTTAAAAACTAATCTATTAATTGGAAGATAAAAAATGAAGCAAACCTATTTTAAGTAAACTAATTTTTTTTTTATAATTATGTGGATAGAAAGCGGCAAGTCATATTCGAAAGAATAAATAGTTTAATTAGGTTAGGTGAAATCTATAAATGAGATGATAAAACCAAAATCAAACGAAATACTTAATTTTAGTTTTGGTTTGTATTATAATATTTTAAATGATTCAATCTTTATGACTTATATAATCCGTTAATGATAAACGATTGACACGAGTAATACTTATAGCTCGAGTTATAATTAAAGCAGGTATTAACGATTTAGATTTTACCGCTTCTTTCCCTCCTTTTTGGGTAAACGCTTACACACATAACCCATATACATTTCGACGGAGGTGATTTCAAAGGGAATTATCGTAAGACATATTTACGGTAACAAATACAGTCGCATTTATAATAATAATATGTATATTATATAATACATACATAATATGATATACTAATATACATAAACCGTATTCAGGTATATAGGAACGTGTAAGTATAGATAAGCGTATACATTTATACGTAGCATAATACAACACATATATACAGTGCGATTATAATAATGACAGTAATAACATGTAGGGGATGGAGCAGAGAGCGTAAACGGGTGACCATAAACGTCTGACCCCTACAATCCCTAAGACCTCAAAAGGGTTTTCCTCGCAAAACCTCTAGGCTGCGGCAGAGCAGGCAACGATGGGTGCCAAGATACACACACACACATGCATACTCAAATTTACTCAACTCTGTCGACGCGGTGTTGCGTTCATAGATATTATACGTATATAATATAAATATATATATGATGATATGTGCACGGTGGCTAACACATTTCGGCTGTATATTTTCCGAGTGAAAAACCCGTTGAAAGTTTAATGTAGTAGTACTCTTACATACACATATATATGTATATATACCTTTGCATATAGTTGCACCAAGACGGAAGCAGCACAGGTCATGTATATTGTATAAGGCCAACGAGTATAATGTGTATATAGGTATAATATGTATATTAAATATATAATAGTACGCGAGACAACCGTGGCCGAGGAACTATAGAAAACTTTTCTACACCCGAACCTCCAGCCACACCCCTGCATGCTCAAAAATACCCTATATACATACACGTCCTTTCTACTTTTAACCTGCTACCGTTGTGGCGACCTGCCCTTCGCAATGCCGACGCTACCAATTTCCGGATATGACAAGTGAAACTTTTAACTGTTCTGAGTGAGTGCCTTCGTCACCGATGCTACTTACCTCTGTCCCACTGGTGTGTATAACCCCTAAATCATTATAAATATAATATTATAAACGTGCGTGCGCTTGCACTTGTTGAGATGTGGCCCAACAGATCATTATAGTCCTTGCGCGAGATGCAATCCCACGCAAGAAAACTTTTCAATTAACTACCCCCCCCCCCCTTGTACTGGAGCCATAATCGCGACCAGGATTGAGTGAAATGAAAGCATTCCATTTATACCGTACCTGCTTCTACATCTCTACTATAGCAGTTCTTATGTGATTGCGTAGTAGTTGTTTCAGGGTCACATTATCTTGTTCACATATACATACATACATACATATACACGCAAATAGAACAATAAGTTATGAATATATGAAGTTTATCATTAGTATGAACACAATTAAATTATGTTCCTGACGGAGGAGAATTGCGGCGGATTTCAGAGAATTTAGCAAAACCCGACATTGCAATTGGAAGGGTCGATTATTGTGCAAATTGAGATTGGGTCATCCGACGAGTATCGGTTCCTCAGAGACTGGATATAATATATAATTAGATAATAAAATCATGTTATTTGTAATAATATTTGAACCCTTTAAAAACTATATAATTTTGTTAGAGAAAAAGAACACATGTATTTTTTCGAAGTTGTTAATTCAGAATAATTTGCTTGGCGTATATCTGGAGTCAAACCACCGGAAGAATTCAACATCATTTTAATGCTGCAGAAAACACTATTACATACTGCTGTATGCGAAAATACCCAACTGCATTGAAATTAAAAAACACTTATATCACTAATGTGATTGATTGAAAAAAACTACATTGAGGTGTATAGATATATTATGAATTTATAGAATATTACCTCAGTGTAACATTTCAATATACCATTTTACCCGGGGTGAACTGGGGTGAAAAATAGGCCCGGGCGATCATAACTAATGGCCTTTTATTAAACTGATACCAGTCCTCATAGATCTAATGATAATATCGGTATCGGATGTTTTTAAGAAAACCTTTGGAAGCTAGTAGCTAGAAATTTAATAGAAAATATATGTATATTACTATTAATAATAGGTACTTGTATGGACCTTATATAGTTAGCTGTATATATTAATCTATTTTGTTGAGTAAATTTATATTATTAGTAAAATTAATAGTATATGGGTAGCTTAATTATGACTGTTAAAAATATTTCAAACGTATGATATATTGACACAAAAACCCATTATAATATAATAACTCAAGACCGAATTTAATTGATATTGCAACTTTTTATTTATACTAGGTAAATTTAATCTGATCATATATGTATACGAATTGGATTAATTACAGTTTTCCTATTTAATTTAATGATGCAATTTTTTGCAACTTTCAACGATTTTGCAATTTTTCCAAATATTGCAATTTTGTATACTTTACTTGATAAAATATTCAAATAATTAATTCTAAAATAATTTTAACATAAAACTATAATTACATCGTAAATTTTTAAATGTATTTAAATGTATTTTAGCATTTTTAAAATTATATTTATCTGAGTTATCCACAAAACTCTTAAGTTTAGATGGGTCAAATAATCAATTACTTAATAATGTAAACAAATTAAGTGAAATTGAAAATATTTTAATAAATATTCCCGTCGAGAATATTTATACTGGGAATTTCCCGATCTCAATAGGAAAATAGTTAAAGATAAAATAAATATATATTTTGTAAATATTAAATTAATGCACATAATATTATTTAAGTTAGTAATTATTGAACATATTTGATATGATTTTACTATATGATTTTGATGTATTTTTTATTGAAATTTTGATAAATTTTTTGTGCAATTTTGGCATCTTTTTAATGCAATTTTAAGATATTTTTAATGCAATTATATCCAGTCTTTTATAATATTATTAATAACATATTATGCCCAAGAGCCCGAAAATCTTAATGGACCAAAAGGCGATTGCCTTCCTACCCACCATATCAGTCCTCGATTTGACTTCAATTCGTATCGGAAATTGAATTCATGCAGAAACTTTGGGATCTAATTACGAATCGCATTTTTTTTTATTTTGAGAAATTTATTACAAAAATATTGAAACAAAAAAGTCATTTAAATGATTTTTTTCTGTTTGTAATTTCCCTAGTGCATAGAAATTACTGTCCAAGATTTTTACTCCCCTGCTTCATCCATATAATACGCGAGCACATACACACTTGTACATATTATACCCATCTCATACTATATACTCTTATTCAGCTGACGCCACATAATAATCGATTTATAACAGTTTCTTGTGCGTGCGCGTATATTTATATAATATATCAATAATATATAGGTATACATAGGTATATATTATTCTCCTCGTACGCTGCCTCTGCAGAATCCCCCCTCCCGTTAGCCTCCCACTCTTTCGGCCAACCTATTTTACGACCCCGACGGGCAATTCCTCGAGGGCTTTCCGCCACGGCGGATTATCTTCCTCTCGGCGCGCGTGGCGGCGGCATGTCCAAAAACCCGAACGGCAATAAAAAACGGTTAGTGCGCGGAACACAACGAAGAAAACCGTTCTAATGCGTTCCAGGTGCTCTCGAATTTACTGTATACAGTATACGTATATATATTACGCAAGAGGTGTGGAAGAGAAAGGATAGTGTAAGAAATGAGCACACATTCGGAACACACCACGCACGCGTTACATTATTCAACGGTCGACAGAACCCAGATATCCATTATTTTTGTTTTGCGGAATTATTATTATTATTATTATTATTATTATTTTTCCCTGTATTGTTCGCGGTGCATTTTTTTCTATAAATAACACTTAAAATATTCTACTGGGATTTTTTTTCGCTCGCGTTATGTTGCTGCCTTTTACCTCTGTACACGAAATTTACAAAAAAGGTTTGATCAAGTGGTAATACCTATTCCGCCATATCAACACGACTATATAATAATAAATGTTTAGTTGGTAAAATATATATATATAGAACTAATGCTGCACATACATATATCTAACATAATACATAAAATAACTCAACGCTATTACATCATAGTACCATTGGAAGAGCACGTTATTTTTATTTAAATTATTGACCTATTTTATTGATAAATATAAAAAATATTTCCTGAACTTACCGGTCCAAATTGTTCAAAGTAGTTTTTGACATCCTCTAACGTTGTTGGCGCCGACAAACCACCGACAAAGATTTTTTTCGTTCGAGTCACCATCTGAAAATTGTTTTAAACTGTGTTTAGTATACATATTCCATCCATTACACTATAATGCGAGTAATGACTAACAATTATGATACTACGTTATTTTAATATATGTATATTGTTAAGACTTTTCTTTCTTTTCACGCATAATATAATATTTGTTATCCAAGTGTATGCAACTCTATTTGGAACAAATAAACTACTATGGAAAAACTTCATGAGTATCCATACTAAACTGTTAACTTGTGTACTATGTATTTAGACTTATGACCTGACGTAACATGATTATAAATAAAAGTCATAATTTAAAAACAATAACAAATATGTATTCAGAATTGAAATCTTATACACATAAATAGTAATTAAGGAGCATGGGATTTGAGTGTTAAATATTGGGATGGACCATTACGAAAATATAATGGAATATTTTTAAGTTAATGAACTAAACATTGAACTTGAACAGCTCTCCATATTAGACTCATTTAATTCAAACATTTAAAATCTCATTGTAAGTTAATTACAAGAGAAATATAATTGACTTAATCACCTATATTTAACTAAATATTCTCAATGTATTATAATTTTCTTATCAATTAGTCGAAGAAAGAAAAATTGAAAGAATAAATTATATGAACATTAATATTTTTACAGTTTATATTGCTGAAATATTTACGATCAAATAAAAAATTATACAAATTAAAATATAATGATTTATACGACATAAAAATTATTTAAGATGAAATATTATTATCAATAGTAAATACGTAAAGTGTGTGAAACATTTGAACACCTCATATTAAATTCACAAACGTGAACAAATCATTAAATATATTTATAAATATATGTATGTACCTATGTGTGTGTTATTGCTATGTGAAGTGTATGGAGTTTTGACAGCATTGAAAATCACGCCAGTACTAATCGGCAGTGTGTTTACCTCTAGTGGGTTATAACGCAGTCGATCGTTTATTTTGAAAATTTAATCCGTCCTCTATCCCTTCGGCAGAGATATATTATCAACATTTAATAGTGGAAATGAAAAGATGGATGCAATTTTCGCCAACTTTATTGTGATATTTATTAGCTCTTGAGTAAAGTTTTTTTTTTTTTTAGCCAATCCTTCTCTGCATGAGTGAATTCGATTTCATATAAATATTATATCAAGGTACCCAGGACAAAGATGCGACCATAAATACATTTACGACGTTTAAAACGCATCCATCAGTATTTCAAAACTGTAGCGCAGAGTTTCGAAAATAACGTCATAAAAATAAAATAGTTTTTGCGACGGTTTATAGATTTATTCGAATACATTTTTTTTTTTTTTTTGTCTTAAATATTATTAAATATTACATTGATAAATTTTTAGTGAAACTAAATAGTTCGTGGAATTGATCATGATGTTGAACTATACAATAGACGACACGAAATAAAAATAAAATAAATAGATTTATAACAAAACAATAATTATTCAGAATAATACAAGCAACAATTATGTGTATATAAATATATGCACACACATACACAAAATTTAATAATATGGCAGACGGATAACGATTAGTTGTATAGAATATACGGATATTGTTCGAATGGCGTAACAATAATAATAATTAATCGGCAAACCCGCACGAGAGAGAAAGAGTGAGAGGAATCTTGTATTATGGTCCCGTGATTACGCGCCAACCACGATATCGTGGCAGCGGTGATTCAGTAGCTTTTGGGGTGAAAGTGGCACGCTGGCAAGTGGTGTAGGTGGTGGCGGTGGGTACGACGGGCGGATAGGGGGAAATGGATGCGGGATGGGAAAACATTTCGCATTTAAATCGGATATCCCGAAACGCTCTGGGTACGACCCTATGGACTAGGGCAGAACGACCGAGAAACGGGTGAAACAGTGTGCACGCGCGTTGGCGGTGGTGTAGGGAGCGATAAATTATATTAAATTGTCCGGGGACCAAAATATAAAAAATATAAATAAAAATATCCATTTTCGAAGTGACCCGTGCTGCTATCTCTGTGCGGTCGGTAGATTTTAGGCGGTAAAAACGAACATAAAATACGACAGAACGACATTGTTTATATCGAAAAAAAAAATTAAAAATACAAGACGGTAGTAATACGTTACGGTATCACACAGTTAAGTAAAACGAGGCGCAATCAGAGTCCAATGTACGTACCATGTTTTTGGATGTCTGATGGCAAACGGAGACCACAGTGGGCGGTTGTTGTTGTTGTTGTTGTTGTTGTTGTTGTTGTTGTTGTTGGTGTTGTTGTTGGTGATGGTGATTTTGGTGGTGTGGGTGGTGGTAATGATGGTGATGTGTAGGATGATGCGGCGGTGGAGGAGGTGGTGGAGCTGCGTAAACGGCTACGGGGAAAAGGGGGGACCCACCGAACGGACAGGGTTCCGTGTTTACGTGGTAGTTGATCACACGCGCGCGACGACAACTGTGCTACGCTGCAGGCGACGGTCAGTGGCGGCAGCGAGACGGTGCAACAACAATATTGACCGTCGCAGCGTTAGCGATACGATACTACTGTCGTGGACGCGGTTCGGCTAACCCCGAGAACGGTAGCCGTCGATTTATTTCCACGACGATCGACCGGCGAGTACGTTCGCGTCGCGGTGCGCGGTGATTATTAATTGAATCTTATATAAAAAAAAAAAAAAAAACTTGCGATCGGTGCGCGTAGTGCGATGACGAGACCGGATGGATCGCGCGCGACGGCGGCAGTGGAACGGTGCGTGTTCGTGTGCGGCGGTGACTGGGACGCGGATGACTACAGCGACGACGACGACAAGCTCGACGGGACGACGACGACGACGATGACGAGGGTACCGCGAGCGTTGCCGTACCGTGCTGTGCTTGGAAGCGCGCTCGAATGGGGTGCCACCTAGCGGGCTGGTCGAGTTGGGCGGGCGGCCGCCGCGGCGTGTGCGTGCGCGCCGCCGCCGTCGGATTCGGCCCTGTCGCGCGGGGGGTGGCGAAAACACGCAGCACCTGACCGTCGGCGAGTCGCACGCGCACCGGCGGCGGCGATTACTGTATACGCACAACAACACTCGGTCGGCGGCGGCGGCGCTGACGACGAGGACGACTACTACTATACTGGGACGACTTCCGCGTGTGCCCATGGCAACGGCGGCGTCGGCGGAGGGACATGCACGCGCACACACGCTCCCCATCGTGCGACCGAACGCGCCACCGCCGACGTGACGCGACGACGACGACCGTAATAAATAATCCAAATAATAGGCCTGGGCCAACGAAAGTTTTTTTTTTAGCACACCAAACGGCCACCGCCACCACGAGCTTTTCAATTAATAACTTTCGGGAACAACTTATTTTTTAATGAATCGGTTAGGTTGTGTCGAAAGAAAAAAAAATCTTTTTACCGCAAAAAATACGTACGAAACAATTGAATAATTAGTTTTTAATAATGTTTTTTTTTTCTTCTTCATTTTTCCCCACCCTCCCACGTTCTTCTGTTTACTTCACCTTCATATACAATTTATATATACGTATAAACTCTTTGTGTCCCCCACTCGCTACTCTATGTACGGCACAGTAGTCCCCCTACGATTCGCTCCCGTCCGCGCGAGTCATTAAGCTGCCACCCGAAAACTCGCGAATTACCCGACTATAAATCAACGAATAAATCACAAAGATGTTGGGCGCGTTGATCGCTCGCATATTATATTATATACTTATATTTACCAAAGAAAAATCCCTTAAACTTATAATGATTTCAAACTCACATCAAATGAATACAATATCGTCTATTTTTCTGTACATTTAATATACACCATCGATCTTATTTTTATATAGTTCCTCGTTTAAAATATTTACCATCGTAAATTAAAAATTAATCTGTTTGCAATGCATGTTGAACAAAATATTCAATGCGTACCGAAATTGAGTTTAGTTTAGAGAATTTCACTTACTATGATAATTATTAATTGTAATTTCCAATTATACACGAGTAACAATATATTATTTACGTAGAAACGTTATTAGATAATTGTTTTGAATTATAAATTAGTAATTATTACCTGAACCCAACAACATTTCGTGCATTTATAATGTTCGTTTTACAATGTTTTGTACGTATATACGTGTGTATTGTTGTGTGATTTTAATTTTATTTTATTTGAGCTCCACATAAGTAAATAGCCAATAGGGATGAAATTACGAACAGCAGTTTACAGAAACATAAATCACACAAATCTAAATCTAAGAAAAATTCGATATTGCAGTATTGTTCAAACATTGAGTAAGATATATGGTGCCTTAAAATTATTATCATTACTATTATTATTGTATTCAGCAATGCATTATAAATAGTCATATATATATATTTTTATACATAATATCTTTACCGGCTCAAAATATAAACATCTCTATCGAAGTCTGTAAAACGTAGTTTTTACTTATAAAGTCTCATCTCCTTTTTCAGTAATGAAAATAATACAAATAAAACGATGGATTTTTGTTTTCTTTGTTTTAATTTATATTCAATAGATTTTCAATGGGTGGATTTAGAAAATTTTAATGATGATTTTTTTATTTATGGGCAAATAATATTCTATAAACGCTTTTTATCCCTGTAAATTTCACGCTAATGCACTCAGAAATAATCTGCGATATTCTTTTATATACATCTTTGATGGTTTTTCTTATTATGTGTATATCCCTATGCGATATACATACATATATATTATTATAATAAATAAGAATATAAAGGTTTCTAAAGCTACGGGTTTTTCTCATAAAATATGTTCAGTTATTGGACCGGTGAAGAATAAAATTATCTACATTCATAGCAAATTGAACGATCACTGTGTTATCATAAAACTACACATCAATGAATACTATGAATCAAATCTGTAATGTACAATGTGTATCATATGTTTTGTTGGGGTACAATTCTGTATAACCGAATCATTTTTTCGTAATTTTATACAAGATTTAGTATAATAATTGGACGAAGAAACAGTACAGTTAATGATT